ATTTTTTTTTTATCCTAAAACCCCAAATAAAAAAAAATGGAAATATATAGACAATTATTAACACACACCCTCGCTCTCTCCTCCCTGGCTTATGGAGTTTTTTTTTTTTTTTTTTTTTTTTTTTTTTTTGACTATTTACTTCTCTTAAAGGATTCATCGAAACCAATGACAAGAGAGTCATGGATGACTGAGCTTCCTCCAGAAATGAAAGACTTTGGTCTTGGGCCCAGAACTTTTAAGAGAAGGGCTGATGACAAATCTGGAGATCGATCAGTCTGGACAGACACTCCAGCAGACAGGGAGAAGAAAGCCAAGGTGAGAGTGTTTGTTTGTTCATGTATTTCTGCCCACGTTCACTCTATTTTGCAAGGATATAAGGCACAATTGTCTCAGGGTACTATTTTTAAAATTATGATTCCAAAAGGAAAATACAGAGTTCCCCCTGAAAGAAAATAAGGAAAGTGACAACAGTTGCGTACTGTGTCCCAGTGAACTGTCTCATTTACATCTCAAGAAAACCCAGAGATAAGACTTCTCGACTTCATTTCATAGAGAAGAAACCAACTTTTATGAGGTCAACTTTTCTGGAATTAGAGGGCTGGTAAGTAATGAACAATACTTCTATTCTAGACCTTCCTGTAACAGGAGAGGAGGTAACAAAAGAGGAGATGTGGAAGTGAGCGGCACACTTGGAATGACTAATGTTGGAGTGCCTTTCTACTCTTTTTTAACTGGTCTTTTACAAAACTAATCTATTGGAATTTTTGTAACTTAGCCTTTAAGATTGTTTCAAAAAAGACATTCCCTTGTTTACATGGATTTATTCATGCCTACATATAGTTGTGCTTTTCTCTGTCCTTCTGTTCCTCATTATAGGCAAATAGATTAGCATATAGGCAGGTGTGCAAGGACTTTTCTTCAGAGGACAATATGACAGAAAATGGAGCAAAAGGAAATTAAACAACACAGTGATTTTAGGCCCTGGGATTGAGTTCTTTAGATCCTTTCCTTTTCAGTACTGAAAGTGTTTTTCTGAGTTTTACAGTGAGCTCATAAAGAGATTATTAAAACTCCTTAAATTTTATGCTGTACAATGTTAAGCATATAGTACCGCAGACTTGTATTTATGGCATGAACTATATAGTATCAGTGTCAGAGAGCTGTTCATTTTTGAGGTAGTCCCAGTAGTTTATTTTTTATTTTGTTTCCCTTGCCTCAGGAGACGTATCGAGACGAAGCTGCTAAGACTGATGTCAAAGAAGTTACTGCTTGTGTTCTCTTCTAGGATTTTTATGGTTTCAGGTCTCACAGTTAGCTCTTGAATCCTCTTTGAATTTATTTTCGTGTGTGGTGTAAGAAAGTGGTCCAATTTCATTCTTTTGCATGTTGCTGTCCGGTTTTCCCAACACCATTTGTTGAAGAAACAATTCTTTTTGCCAGTGGATATTCTTTCCTGCTTTGTTGAAGATTAATTAACCATATACTTGTAGGTTCTTTGCTTCTGGGTTCTCTGTTCTGTTCCGTTAATCTCTGTGTCTGTTTTTGTGCCAGTACCATACTGTCTTGATGATCACAGCTTTGTAATAGAGCTTGAAGTGCGGAATTGTGATGCCACCAGCTTCTGTTTTGAGGTTGCTTTGCCTATTGGGGGTCTTTTTGTGTTTGCATCCAGATGTGAGAACTGCTGGTTCTAGCTCTGTGAAAAATGCTCTTGGTGTTTTGTTAGGGGTAGCATTAAATACGTAAATTGCTTTGAGTAGTATGGACATTTTAACTACTTGTTCTTCCAGTCTGTGAGCCTGAAATGTCTTTCCATTTCTTTGTGTCATCTTGAATTTCTTTCATCAGTGTTTTATAGTTTCCAGAGTACAGGTCTTTCACCTCTTTAGTAAGGTTTATTACTAGGTAATAGGGGTACATTTCTAAATGGGATTGATTCCTTAATTTCTCTTTCTCTTGCTTTGTTATGTTGCATACCAATGCAACAGATTCCCGTACATTGATTTTGTTCTATGTGACTTTACTGAATTCATTTATCAGTTTAGTAGTGTTTGGTGGAGGGGGAGTCTTTTGGGTTTTCTATATAGAGTATCATGTCATAGGAAATAGTGAAAGCTTCACTTCTTCCTTGATGACTTGGATCCCTTTTCGTTCTTTTTGTTGTCTGGTTGCTGTGGCTGTGACTTCCAGTACTATGTTAAATAAAAGTAGTGAGAGTGGACATCCCTGTGGTATTCCTGGCCTTAGAGGAAAAGCTCTGTATTTCCCCATTTAGGATGATCTTGGCTGTGTTTTTTTCATATCTGGCCTTTATTATGTTGAGGTTATGTTCCCTCTAAACCTACCTTGTTGAGGATTTTTATCATGAATGGATGTTGTACTTTGTCAGATGCTTCTTCCGCATCTGTTGAAATGATCATATGGTTCTTACCCTTTCTTTTATTAATGTGATGCCTCACGTTGATTGATCTGCAAATATTGAACCACCCTTGCAACCCAGGAATAAATCCCACTTGATCATATTGAATGATTCTTTTAATGTATTGTTGGATTTGGTTTGCTAGCATTTTATTGAGAATTTCTGCATCTGTGTTCACCAGGAATCATGGCCTATCATTCCCTCTCTCTCTCTTTCTCTTTTTTATTTATTTATTTTTTTAAATTTTAAGTAGGCATTCTGCCCAGTGCAGAGCCCAGTGCAGGGCTTGAATTCATGACCCTGAGATCAAGACCTGAGCTGAGATCAACAGTCAGATGCTTAACTGACTGAGCCATCCTGGTGCCCCATAGTTCTCTTTTTTTAGTGCTATCTTTATCTTGTTTTAGTATCAGGGTAATGCTGGCCTCAATAAATTTGGAAGTTTTCTATTTTTTGAGAATAGATTTTAACTCTTCTTTAAATGTTTGTTAGAATTCTCTGTGAAGCCATCTATCTGGTCTTGAACTTTTATTATCAGTCTGTTAACTTTTCTTTTTCTTCCTGTTTCAGTTTTAGTAATTTAAATGTTTCTAGGAATTTATCCATTTCTTCTAGATTGTCCAATTTATTGGCATATAGTTTTCATAATATTCTCTTATGATTGTTTATATTTCTGGGGTGTTGGTTGTTATTTTTCCTCTCTCATGATTTTATTTATTTGGGTCCTTTCTCTTTTCTTTTTGATAGGTGTGGCTAGAGGATTATTAATTTTATTTATTTTTTTTTTTTTTTAAGAATCAGCTTCTGGTTTCATTGATCTGTTCTGCTATTTTTTATTTTCTGTCATTTTTTTCTGCTATAATCGTTACTGTCTCTGCTGCCTTTAGGCTTCATTTTCCATTCTTTTTCTAGCTTCTTTGGATGTAGGATTAGATTGTTTGTGATTTTTTTCTTGCTTCTTGAGATAGACCCGTATTGCTAGATACTTTCTTATGAGGACTGCTTTGGCTGCATTCCAGAGATTTTGGACCATTGTGTTTTCATTTTCATTTGTTTCCGTGTATTTTTTATTTCTTCTACTCATCTTTCTTTTTTGATATTTGAGTTCCCAGCATAATCTCCACTAGGTGGAGATTAAGCTAAGTGGAGACTAAGCTACTAAGTTCTCACATTCACTTAGCCAACGTGGCCTAAAAGAAGTAAGATTGCTCTTTAGAAAGAAATGGAAGTGTTCATTATAAATTGACAGACATCTGTTATGCCCTCACCTCCCAGTCTTGACTAGATCTATTAACTCTTAATATTAAATGGTCAGGTTTTATCTCTATCTTACCATAACATCATTTCTTCCTTAATATTTATAAATGAAAGCATCTGTTTTCTAGGAAAATTTTTTATGAGAAAGTAAGAACTGAGCTAGTCCTGTTTTTAACAGTGCTTTATTAAATACAGCATTGTTTTGTACAATTATTTTTAAGATTTTATTTCTTTATTTGTCATAGAGAGAGCACGCAAGCAGGAGTGGCAAGCAGAGCAGGCAGAGGAAGAAGCAGGCTCCCTGCTGAGCAAGGAGCCTGATGCAGGACTTGGTCCCAGGACTCTGGGATCATGACCTGAGTGGAAGACGGGGGCTTAACTGACTGAGCCACGAAGGTGTCCCTGTAGAATTTTTCTTAAGTAGGCTCCATGCCCAACTTAGGGCTTGAACTCATAACCCTGAGATTGAGAGTCACATGCTCTACCAACTGAGCCAGCCAGGTGCCCGTTTTGTACATTATTAAGATAAAAATTGTAGATGACGTCCTTGGTTTTCTTAAGCAGTTAACAACAGTATACAAATATGCTTTGAGATTTGTTGGAAATTTATATCAGCACTTCATCTTGTATATGCAGTGTTATTAATGTTGTGTTTGTTTTTTTTTTAAGTTCAAATTCCAGTTGTTCACTGTTGGTATATTTTGTATATTGACCTTGTATCCTGCAGCTTTGCTATAGTGTACTTGCTTATTAGTTCCAGGAGTATTTTTGTAGATGCTTTGGAATTTTCTATATAAACAATCATGTCATCTATGAATAAAGATAGTTTTATTTCTTTTCCAAACCTTTCAACCTTTTCTCTTTATTTTGTCCTCTCAAGTGATTTTACTAGTTTTAAAAACAGATAATGCAGAATTTCTTTCTTTTTTTTTTCTAATTTTATTTTTAAGTAATCTCTGTACCCAATGTGGGGCTTGAACTTATAACCCCGAGATCAAGAGTCATATGCTCTACCAACTGAGCTAGCCAGCCGCCCCTGTAGGACTTCTTAAAGCCTCATTTTCTCTCCTACATCTCATCATTGTTTGTCAGACACCTTTGTGAGTTTGTTAAGTAATTGGTTTCTTCCAGTTAGTTGATTGGATAGGTTTCTTCCTTGTTTTCAAGAAAATCATAGAGTAGAACAACAACCGATTCCTTATCAACTATATGTATATGTATATTCCTAGTAGGAAAAGATTCAACAATCTTAGTTTAGTCTCTTAGACCTCAATCTGAGTAAAAATAATATTTCTTTTTTAGTTTATCTTAACTATATGGTTCAGTAATGTGTTACCTGTGTTCACTCTTCAGGAAACTCAAGAAGCAAGGAAATCATTTAATAAGAAGGATGAAGAACATACATTGTCAGGAAGGGAGAAGAGATTGGCTGAGCAGGTATCCTCATACAATGTAAGTAAGAATAAAATATATAAGCTTTTCTTTTTTCCTTTTTTTAACAAAGTGGTCATAAGTTTCATTGTTTTTTAAATATTTATTTATTTATTTGAGAGAGAGCGAGCACGCGTGAGTGCGGGGAGGGGTGGAGAGAGAGGGAGAGAGAGAATTCCAAGCAGACCCCATACTGAGCGCTGAGCCTGACTTGTGGATTGATCCCAAGACTCTGAGATCACAACATGAGCCAAAACCAAGAGTCAGACTGACTATGCCACCCAGGCGCCCCTAAGCTTTTATTATTTTTTTCTATCCTTCAATGTTCTTCTCATATTTTTTCTCTTTCTTAGTTTTTCTTTCTTTTCTATGTCTTCCTTTTTAGCTTGGTCTTTTTCTGTACAACTGCCCTGAGAAATATTCCACTCTGTTGTGTTACATGTCTTTATATAAAATCCTATTTATAGGATTTTTTAATGTATTTGTATAATATTTTCAGTTTGTATTTTACTTAAGTCATATGTTAGAAATTTAATTTGTAGAGATTAGAAACAGATGATCAGAAAGCAAGAGCCCCTGCCCTGCAGCCACTCCCCTCCCCACTAGGGGGCCTGCACCGTCCAGTCATGGTCAGTCCCACCATGTTCTGTGACGTCACCCTGGACAGGGAGCCCTCTGGCCGCCTCACCTTGGAGCTGTTTCACACCAGGTTCCAAACACAGCAGAGAACTTTCATGCTCTGAGCTCTGGGGAGAAAGGATTTGGTGATAAAGGTGCCAGCTTTCACAGGATCATTCTGGCACTTCTATGCCAGGCTGGGGACTTCCCACCCCGTACTGGCACTGGTGGCCTGTCCATCCGGGAAGAGAAATTCGCTGACGAGAATTTCATCCTGAAGCACACAGGTACCTGGCATCTTGTCCAAAGGCTGCATCCCACACAAACGCTTGCCAGGTTTTCATCGGAACTGCCCACACGGGGTGGTTGGGCGGTAGGCCATGGTCTCGGGTGAGGTGAGAGGGCAGGAATACTGTGCACGCCATGGGGCAGTTTGGGGCCAGAAACAGCAAGACTAGCAAGATCACTATTGCTGACTATAAGCACCTAATAAATTTGACTTGTATTTTACCTCAGCTGACAGACCATTCCTTCCATAGCCCAGGACAGCAACCTCCACCCCCATCTGCTCGAAGTATCCGGTAATCTTTGTGCTCTTGCTGCAGTGCTAATGGATTCCGTATTTTCCTTGGCCCCCTTCCAAATCCAGCCGGATTGCAGAGTTAAGTTTATGATTATGGCATGAAAACTAAACAACAACAACAACAACAAAAGAAATCAAGAGCCCTACTAACTCCTAGAGATCCTCAGTTCATATTTTAAATTATAAGCCGATTTGGAATATTCGATGTGAAGATTTAAATATGGAAGAAAAATGGTTTTTAAGATACAGTTCAGTCAAAAAAAAAAGATACAGTTCAATCTAAATTTATAAACTAAACAGTGTTCAGTTAACATTTTGTTATTTCATTATATTCTCTTACTTTAAAAACAAAACAAAAACTGGTGAGTGGTCCAGCTAAATGTAAATCACCAGGGGCACCTGGATGGCTCAGTGGGTTAAACATCTGTCTTCGGCTCAGGTCATGATCCCAGGGTCCTGGGATCAAGCCCCGCATCGGGCTCTCTGCTCAGTGGGGAGCCTGCTTCCTCCTCTCTCTCTGCCTGCCTCTCCACCTACTTGAGATCTCTGTCAAATAATTAAATAATATCTTTAAAAAAAATTAAAAAAAAAATGTAAATCACCAGACCCTTTGGGCCCTACAGTGTTGAGGTGTCTAAGGAAAATTACCTCTGTTCCCAGCGTACTAGTTAATGAAAAGTTCCGCAAACATTAAAAATATAGTTAGCATGAGTAATTGGACCTGTGTAGACCAGTATACAAACAGTGAAGCATACATGAAACACTTTTTTTTTGAAACTGACCAAAACTCAACCCACAATGGAGCATTTATGAAAACTGACCAGCTTAAGAGTCAAATCTCAATAAAACTAGAAAAATTACGGTCATTAAAACCATGTTCTCTGACCACAAGGAATTTAAGTTAAAATTTGGAATGATTTAAAAGCCTTGTACAATTTGAAATTAGAAATATTCAGAATTTAAATTTTGCATGAAGGACAACATGATAATGGAAGTTAGAAAATACGTAGACGTGAATAACACAAAAATACTGCATATCAAAAATGTGGGCAGTGCACTATCAGGTGGTACTTAGAGGCAAAATTATAGCTCTAGTGAGTTCTGTTAGAAAAGACTAGCTAAAAATCAATGAGCTGGGCCTTTTTCCAAATAGGCATTTCCAGTAGTAAACATACATCTACCCCTGGACCCTATAGTTTCACCCTTGGGCATCTATCTACTTAAGGCAAATGAAAACCTATTCACAGAAAGACTTGAATATGCTTTATTTTTAATGTCCTCAAAAAGACTTCTAGAAGAAACTCTGGATTCCTGGTTAGCTCAGTTGGTTAAGCATCGGCCTTCAGCTCAAGTCATGATCCCAGGGTCCTGGGATCGAGTCCCGCATCGATCTCCCTGCTCAGCAGGGAGCCTGCTTCTCCCTCTGCCTGCTGCTCCCCCTGCTTGTGATTTCTCTCTCTCACTTTCTGACAAATAAATAAAATCTTGAAAAAGAAACTCTACCTATGAAACTAATAATATACTATATGTTAATTAACTGAATTTAAACTAAAAATAAGATTTGCACATTGAAAAAAGACTTCTATAAGAATGTTCATAGAAGCTTTGTTCATATAAGCAACATTCTGTGGACAGCTCAGATGTTCATCAGTAAGAGAAAGAAAAACAATGCAGTGAAATACTACTCAGCAATAAAAAGAAACAAATTACAGATAGATGGAACAACTTGGATGAGTCTCGAAGTCATTACACTGAGTACGAGGAAGTATGTACAAGGAAGTACATACTGCACCATTCCATTTAAATGATGCTCTACATTAAGCAGAATGAATCTGTGGTTGAAAAAAAGCAGAATACTGGTTGTAGGAGTGGAGTGTAGACGTTGACTAGGAAGAGGCAAAGTGTTTTCGGTGATAGAAATGTTCCAAATTTTGATCGAGCCCCAAGCTGGGTTCTGTGCTGAGCATAGAGTCTGCTTAAGATTCTCTCTCTGCTCTTCCCCCCAGTCCCCCTCACATAACCTCTCTCTAAAATAAAATAAAATAAAATAAATTTTAAAAATATATGAAAAATATTATAGTTATAATCTTATGCTGAAATTTTATTCACAAGATTTACTTTTCAAAATAGTAATGGTCTTAAGACCACCCTCTAACTCTTGGTTTGGATAAATCGAACACTCTTTTAAAGTATTACCATGAAGACAAAAACAAAAAACTAGCCTCTTAGCGTGAATTTTCAAAAGCAGCTAAAAAATGATCTCATTCAAAATAAATTGCACTGGCTTTTAGAAATTGTTATAAAACACACATTTTGTTAAATGATTAAATTTGGCAAATCAGCAAATCGGTCATTTAGCAAATTACTCTGTACATGAATGGTCCTCAGGGTGATTTTTAGTAAATTGATTGTCTCTGTTTGTTTTCATAATTTTTTTTTTATAACTCCAGTATTGGTTTGGTCCTGGGGGTCACAAGGTGCAAATTATGCTGAAACAGTGTCCCTGAAGCTGCAGACAAAACAGCTCATTTATCATAACGATTTTGAGCACTTGAATCTTTTGAATTGACTGTAGTAATCCAGTGGTTTAACGTAGTCCTCTCTTTACTGGTGTTTAATTTACTAATATAGGACATTGGTAAATTGAAGCCCGCCATCTTTGTTCCTCCATTTTTGTTTGATTTTGTTACCTTTTGTGCAGTTTCCCATTTTGTTTTTTTTTTTTTTTTTTTTTAAGAGAGGGATGGGGGAGCAGAGGGAGAGGAAGAGCGAGTTGATGCGGGGCTTGATCTCAAGACCCTGAGATTGTGACCTGAGCTGAAATCAAGAGTTGGACACTTAACCAACTGAGCCAGCCAGGCACCCCATCCTTTTGTGCAGTTTTGATCATCGGTTTCAATCCTGTTCTTCAAGTGGCTCGAGGTGAAATAGGGCCTCTATAGCATCATTCTTTCTCACATCGCCACACATCTCTTTCAAACCTTGTTCTCTGTTTTCTCCAGCACCATCTTACATCTTCAGGCCTTCCCCCTGCCAGCTCTTGATAGCCTGTCTACCTTCAGCTTTACTACCCCACTAATGAGGTTTTTTTCTCATTCATGAGGAAGGGAGGGGAAAATGTAGAGAAATAATGCTAAAAGATTAAGGTTTTCTAGTATGGCTTTCTTATATTTGTCCATTTATATATATATAATACATTATAGTTCCTCATCCTACAATTAACCCTGCTCTTCATGTCCTTTGTCTTGCTTTCTCTCTCCTCTGATTTTTAAAAGCACGGGTTTCTGAGACTCAGAGTTGGCAATTTAGATTCACGAAATCTACCAGCGGGGCTCAGGAATCTGTATTTCTTTTCAGTCAGGAGTGGAGACCAGCAGTCTTCAGGTGTTTTTGCTTGGTATCCCCTAAAAGAAACCTTTATCCTTGACATCTAAAAATTTTTATTGTAAGTTTCAGTAATTACAAAAAATGTATAGTATAGGGTATTACTCTATTCAGTGTTTCAGATGGAATCCAAGTGACATAGCAATTCAGGATCAGTTATTAGCCATTAAAAAAATACACCCAAAAAAGCACTTACTTAATATTTGACAGTTTTATTTCATCCCTTTTTCTCCTTGAATTCACAATTTTCTCTTCTGCCACAGAATTTTTTCATAATGGAAGTCTCTTACACTTGAAAATCTTTTATGATAATATTGACAAGTGTCTCTCACTCTCCCTCTGCCCCTCCCCACCTCACATGCACACTCTAAAATAAACAAATCTTAAAAAAAAAAAAGTGGAAAGCACTTGACTTGCAAATCAATTTGTTTCTAAAAGATTTTACAAAGATTTATGAAATGAGTGAGAGGGGTTAAGAAAATGGTAGTGGTAGTTCAAATAAATACTAAACTAACATAGTATCTTTTTTTTTTAAGATTTTTTTTTTTTTAATTGCCAGAAAGAGAGCACGGGGGAGAGAGAAAGCGAGAGTACAAGCAGGAGGATCAGCAGGCAGAGGAAGAAACAGGCTCATTGCTGAGCAAAGAGCCTGATGTGGGACTTGATCCCAGGACCCTGGGATTGTAACCTGAGCCAAAGACAGACACTCAACTGACTGAGCCACCCAGGTGTCCCAACATAACATCTTTTGTACATTCTGCTAAAACCTACAGCTCCAGATTGAGCTTATTCAGTTGATGAGGAATAACTACCACATGATCTAATTGGCAAAGTCGGTTCTGGTTGCTAAATCAGCCAGTTAAGACTCACTTTCTGTCAGAAAATCTTATTTCACTTTTCCATTCAAATAGATGTGCTAATGATTATCCCAGTGACACTTCGGAATTCTGAAGCAGATGGGTGGGCATGATAGTTTGTCTCTTGGATGAAATAGGATGCTGCCATTTTCAGCGTTTCTTACCAGTGTTATGTTGCTTTCACTGTCTTTACTTCTTTGCTCTCAAACACGTTCTTTAACGGGGTAGGGCCTGGAATAGATGTCGTTGCTAAGCAAAAATTGCCCTTTCTTCCACTGCCCTTCTATTCAGTCCGTCTGAGCACAGAACATTCAAACAAAAACCAAAACACCAATTTCTGAAAAACCAAAACACCCCACTGAAACACACTTAAGAGAAATATGTTTAAGACACAGAACAGGGCGCCTCGGTGGCTCAGTTTGGTTAAGCATCTGACTTGATTTCCACTCAGGTCATGATCTCTGGGTTGTGAGATCAAGCCTCACTTCGGGCTCCCCAGTAAGTGGGGAGTCTACTTGAGATTCTCTCCCTCTGCTCAGGCTCGCTCGCTCTCTCTCTCCCTATCTCTCTCTCTGTCAAGTAATCTTTTTTAGAAAAAAGATCCTCTCCTTCTGCCCCCACCAACTCCTATTCTCTAAATAAATAAAAGTCTTAAAAAACAGACACACAGAAGAACCAAAGCCTTCCTGGGTTTACAGTACCTCAGTTAGAGGAAGTATTTCACATTTTTTTTTTTGAAATCTTGGAGACTTGCTCTCCTCGGCAGTATTCTTACAGTAAGATTCTGAGAGGCCTCTCCTTTGTGAAGTGGCAAAGGGCTATAATAAAAGGGGAGAGATCAAGCTAGCAAGATGCATTATGGAGCAAGTCAATTTTAAGTGAGGGTACATGAAGAAGTTGAGCATTGTGGGTAGATAACCTTAAAATTATCCATGTCTTTGTACCACACGAACCCCACTCTCTGTAGCCCACAGGCCCACATCTGCCCCCACTGAAACTAATGGCCTTTGCCCAGACCTCATCCTACTAGGTATATTTGAAACCGTGAGCACCTGTCCCAACTAAGAAGAAAGAGAATGAGCAATGTAAGAGAAAGAACAGAAAACTGAAAGGAACAAAAATCTCTTAGCTTATGGAATATGCCAGTATATCCTGAACGGGCCTTGAATTTTGTCACTCCTGTGCCATTATTTTTTGGGTTTGCCCTTGTTTCTGCGTTGGCCCGGCCACACCCTTTGCTTCCTGTGCATCTGTTCAGGCGGCAGACCAGCGCATCCATGACTCTTTACCCAGGCACCTCAATGACGACGTAATTGCTCTTCCCTCCTCACCCATGCTCTTGGCTTGGACTCTAATTATGACACACCACACATGGTTATTTCAAAATGTATTTCCTCTCTGTCTTGCTTTTTTTTTTTATTACTATTATGTAATGGTAGTTAGTAGATATCTTCATTATGGTTGAATTGAATTTTCCTCCGCTACATATTTTCTTCATGGATCCTGTCTTGGATTTGGCAAAACCTGACAGGGTCTGTAAGAAGCCCTCCTTAATTTCATCATTACTGCTTAATCGTTTTGCTTCATGATCCTATTCTGTCCACAATCTAGACAAAGATTTTCATTTCTACTCTCTTGCTCTCCCCCAGGAATCAAAAAGATCAGAATCTCTTATGGACATTCATCATAAAAAATTGAAGAATAAAGCTGCTGAAGAAAAAAATAAGCCCCAAGAAAGAATACCATTTGACCGTGATAAAGATCTCAAGGCTAATCGGTTTGATGAAGCTCAGAAAAAAGCTCTGATAAAGAAATCTAGAGAACTAAACACCAGATTTTCACATGGCAAAGGCAGTATGTTTTTATAAGTAAGTATGGGAGGTCTATTTTCAAACTGATAAATTTGAACTTTTCTCAATACTCTGTTATCCGGAAATAGTTGTGTGTAAAATCTATTTCCTTTTATAATAAAGTAGATTATAAACATGAAAATCTTTTTTGATAAGTCGAACATGATTTTTTGAATATCCAGCCCTGTGGGATAAAAAATGTAGTTTACTGGAAAAGTAGCTTTGTCTTCAGGCATTGCTATTAAAGACACTAAAGTTAAAGTTTATAAGAAATGGCCAAAGAATGAGTGATTTGAAGCTTGGTTAAATATGCATGCTTTTTTAAAGAACAAAGAAAGGAGAGGTATTTATAATCTCTGTGTTAAACAAGATCACAGTTAGAAAACATTCTTTGCTTTGAAAGCTTCTCTATAAGTTAAGCTTAAGTTCAGAATCATTATATCCTTCATCCACAGCCCAGTCTGACAAGGGTTCATAAAGGTGAGTAAGGAATTATGTAAAAGCTGAGGTTGCTTTTTAAAATCTTGAGCATTTTTAATTGTATGAAACCTGTATCGATATTAAAACATGGCTTTGAAAGAAAATACAGGGGCGCCTGGCTGGCTCAGTCAGTAGAGCATACGACTCTTATTCGCAAGATTGTGAGTTCGAGCCTCACGTTGGCGTCTAGAGATTACTTAAAAATAAAATCTAAAAAAATACAGGAAAATACAGTTAAAGTTAGAAATATTTTCTAACTTACTGAACTTTCTTATTCTTCAGGGGGATTTCCCTGTGCAGTGAAGAAAAGTTGAAGAATACGCTTTTATCTGTCTGTCCACCTTTATCCCTTTGTTTTGAGTTTCTTGAGATTAGAGATGACTTCAGTCTTAAAAACCATACAAACTTACCTTGTGTGTATATCCTGTAACTTCTGTGGAAACCTAGTCAGTATTTCTTATGTGGAATAGAATTTTATGTGTCTTTGGCTTCTGAGGATGTGTGGGCTTTTCTTCAAATAATTATTTTGAGGCTCTCCCATCCGTTCCCTAATTTTTGTGGTGTCTCACAAGTATCCTGTAAGATCTTGGTCAGGACTATCCACCAAATCCCCACCAAAGCTCAGACCTCCTCATCAAATGTTACTCACCTGCCCCTGGAGTAAATGTGCCGGGTCCTTGCAGTAAATCCATGAATTTGAAATTGTTTGGGTTTTCCCTGTAAACCGTGAATACACATTTACAAATAGAGGGCTCAGAGGTTTCATCTGTTTTGTTCACATTTGCTTGTTTGGGCAATCAGGGCTTTTTATTTGTTTGGGCTTTTGTTTTTCTATTATGGTTGGTTGGATTTTTTTGTTTGTTTGTTTTTATGTATTTATTTGACAGAGAGAGAGATTACAAGTAGACAGAGAGGCAGGCAGAGAGAAGGGAGAAGCAGGCCACCTGCTGAGCAGAGAACCCGACGTGGGGCTAGATCCCAGGACCCTGAGATCATGACCTGAGCCGAAGGCAGAGGCATAACCCACTGAACCACCCAGGCGCCCCGGTTGGTTGGTTTTTAAGTCAGGAAGAAGGGCCTCTGCATTATCTCATGTGCTAAGGAAAAACTATATTGATTTTTGCAATATTAATAAGTATTTCTGGGGGAGGCAATCTGAGGGACAAAATATGCCATTAAGCATTAGTGGTGTGAAGTCTAAGACTTGGTCTCCATGGCCTCAGCCAAAGCTTTCCAATTAAGTCTTTGAATTTTACTTTGCGATGATCTTACTTTACCCTTTTATATTTAACAGATTTAAACTAATTTATTGGAGACTGATCTTTTTTATCAGTCATGAGTAGTCTTTTAAAAAAATCAAGTTCCTAATCCCTGAATACAAAAATATAAATGGACACGCTAATCATAACCACCCTAATGAGAGTATGTAAGTTTGTAATGCTTAAGGTACTGTCTGTCAGGATGTTAAATAGAATATTCTAAATGGTTAAATCCTAAATTCAAATTCTCTAAGTTTTGTTTTCTTACAGAGCCATTCTAATTGTTCACTAGTTCTGTGGTCTAGTCTTGATAAAGCATGAGGGGTTTTATTTTTTGTTTTCTATGGGGAAAAAACACAAAATGAGAGACGAGGTGGGAATTGTGAGGTTTCAGTGGAAAAACATTCTGATCCCTTGTTCATTTAGGCTTCATGACAATTGAGTGACCTCTTCAGATTATGGCACAAATTATTCTTTGCTTTTATGATATCAGCCTAAACAGTAGCCTACTCAAGGAGTGTAGCTACTAAAACGATGAATTATTCTCCCAAGCAAACCGAGAAAGCCTCTTGTCTCAGAACTTGAACAGAACTTGAACAGAACTACCATTTGCCTAAGATCTCATTTTTAGTAAGTAATATTTTCTGAACCCAAAACTTTGTGTAAAAGCATCCATTGCTCTTATTTAATTTCGTTACAATTTTTCGCCAATGAAAGGAAGAAATGTTTTCTAGTTTCTCATCCTTGTATGAATTCCTAACATATATTTTTGGGAAACTTGGTATTTTTTAAAGTAAAAATGTCACCTTTGGTTACTTATTTTTCTTTGTTTTCTTCATTTTAAGGAGATAGGGTATTTCTGTATCACCTATTTACTGTTTTTCCCCTCACCTTGAAGCATCTTTGTCCTCAGCAAAAGGGAGAAAACCTCTTCTTTCAGCCTAATGCTTTCCATGAGTTACCACCTTATTGCTTCTTGCCACCCGGGCAGTTTTAATCAAATGTCAGGCCAGAGGGAGGTTTTTATGCCCCTCCCCCCACAGGGACTATGCCCAGTCTAACAGCATTGATAACAGAACAGAGTTGCTGTTTACACAGAATGGAAGGGTGCTCATGTCAGCCCCTCCCCTCTTCCAAAGTGGTGAAAAGCCTACTTAAATCAAGTCTCCATCCTTCTGGCAGAAAATTGGCATTGCTGACATCTTCTAATAAGAACTTTTTAATTTCCTATACTTCTTGGCTAAGTTTTCTAGAACTGCGACCTCCTTTGAAACTTCAAAATGAAGAATAAAAAAGAGCAACACTCAGTTCAAAGGGTGAAGCAGATACTTTAACTTTCTTTTCCGTTGAAGGTGACATCTAAGTTCATTGTAACTGAAATTACATGATTTTTGTCCACCTCTGTAAATCGTCATCTCAGATTGAGTTACTTCCACAAGTAACCACATTACTGATAAATAAGTGGTGACTTTAGCAAGTGAGAGAATTGGGAATGGGGACAGAAGGTGAGAGATGATGGCTTCACCCATTCATTATCAGATAAATTAAAGCCTTTTTATATTGGGCAAAATATTGTAAATTAAGCCCTGCTCTTAAAAAAAAAAAAAAAAGCCATGGTCTTACTAAAAGTTTTTAATCGTCTTCGGATATAACAACCATTTGACATTTAATTTATCTCTTAAACTTTTAGTAGTTCTCTGACTTAATGACTTATTTAAAAGTGAGGTTGAGAGGGACGCCTGGGTGTGGCTCAGCCGGTTGAGTGTCTCCCTTCGGCTTGGGTCATGGTCCCAGGGTCCTGGGATCAAGCCCCAAATCAGGCTTCCTGCTCAGCGGGAGGCCTGCTTCTCCCTCTCCTACTCCCCCTGCTTGTGTTCCCTCTCTCACTCTCTCTCCGTCAAGTAAATAAATAAAATCTTTTTTAAAAAAGTGAGTTTGAGATTGACATGGTACTGAAACTTATATGCTCCAGAATAGATTAGTAATTATTCTATAAATGATTTGGTCCCCAAACATGATGGCACTTTTTATTTCTTATATAGGGTGGATAATGTTAATATTATTGCTCAAACGTATGATCATGGGAGATGAATTGTTAAACTGTCTACAAGAGTTCTGTCATGTCTCTTTTGTACTTCTTCCATGCTAATGATAAGCATTGTCAGAAAAAGCAATTCTCTGTTGAGTTACGTAGCTCAGAAGAAGAATTAACGTGGGGGGAAAGTGGTTAGAAATAGTGCCTGTGTAACATCAGTGCCAGCTCTTCTCTTTCATGATACTAATTTATTTTACTTTGGCTTTTGATGCCATCGTGAGATTTAAGTCTGCAGTACAGAAGTCATGCATTTCCTATTATAGGAGAGGGTTTTTTTTTTTTTTTTTTGCAGCTTAAAAAATTGTTCAACTGTGACTCTAGTTTGTAAAATACTATAAAGAGCTATACACTGCCCCTTTGAATCTTTTCATTTTGAACTCTACAGGAAAAGACTTTTTAGAAGAGAATTCCTGGTGTATAATTTTTTACGTATAAATAAAGTTTCATCTCTATCTGAGAAGTTGTGGACTTTTATTTTTGTTCTCTTTTAATATAATTAACTTGTCTGAAGCCAGCAATACTAGCAAAAAAAAAAAATATATATTCCACAAAAATATATTCTGGCCAATCAGATCATTTTAGGAAGAAACCTCACTTGCCACGTTTTCATTATCCCAATCTAACTACAAATAGTAACTGTTTCTTTAAACATGCAAGACAAATTGGAAGTGCTCTTAAGAGCATCATGACCTAAGAGGGGCTCGAGCTGGCTTATAACCAAGATTCCATTGTTCTATGTATCATAAGGCTTTAGAACAGTTGGTGGGTGTTTTCAGGGGTGTTTGATGATCACCTTTTTTTTTTCCTTTCTCTACTTCCCAGATTCTTTCAGAAAGCATGTGTTCTTTTTTAATTTGGGGTGGGGGAGGTTAATCCCCCCCTTTTTATAACATCCTGATTTTTTATTATATAGGGTTAGTTGAGAACAAGAAACTTTTCAGGTAAAATGGTAAGGCAAGTCTTTCTGAAGAGACGTCATTTAAGCTGAAACCTAAAAATGAAAAAGACGCTAGCAGTGTGAGCAGTACTGACCACATATGCAAAGGCCTTGAAGCATTAGTTGGGAAGTGTTCGAAGAACTGTACTAGTGTGGGCGGTATATAAGAAATATGGGGGCTCAAGGTTGGTCCCTGCTACTGATGCTAGGAACCCCATACAAGGGCATCTGACCCAGTTTTAGAAGGTGAAAGGAAGCCTCCCAGAGGCGAGTATGCTTTAGCCAAGTCATAAACCTCACAGAGGAGTTAGCCAGATGGGTCCTAATACCAAAGATCTACCCTCCTGGCTATGTCTGAATTTCCCAACCATGTCTGAATTCACCCTTTAGGCCCAGTGCTCTGAAGACAGCATGTACTCATGTCCTCAGCAGAAAATTAACACATTGAAATTCTGCCCATACATGTCACCAAAACTAATTATTTTAAGTAGAGCTGGAGTCGTTTTTCTATTTTCTCAAAATTTGTCATGAATGTTCATTTCCTCCTCATGGGCCTAATTATTAAGGATTATGTACATTATTTTTAAGAGGTAAACAGCACTAAATGAATGCAACAGATACCAATTGAGTAATTAATCATTAGAATTACAGGACGTGGAAGAATATTTTCATTCATTTTTTTCTTAATTTGTGATCCTTGGACCACCTGAGGCGATTGATCAGCATCACCTGAGGGGATTGATAAATGAAGGTTCCTGAGGAGATTGATAAATACAGGTTCCCGAGCCAACCCCTCTTGAATGGAAATGTTTGAGGTTAGAGTCAGGTAATCTCTGTTTTTAACAATTTCCCAGGTCATTCTTTGTAAACTCAGGTTTGAGAATCACTGCACTACTTATCTACATAATCATTTTATGTTGCATAGCTACAATCACAGGTACCAGCAATAACTTGCATTATGAAGAGTGGATTGTCATTTCTATTGACTAAATCAATGCCTAAAAGGCTTTATTCTTCAGACATTTTTCCCAGCCTGCTACCTTGGGGCTCAAAATTCTACTGTCAGTGATAATTTGGTTTCATTAGAATGCCTTCTCTCAGGCTACCTTTTTTTTTTTTTTTTTAATTTAAATTTATTTGACAGAGATCACAAGTAGGCAGAGAGGCAGGCAGAGAGAGAGGAGAAAGCAGGCTCCCTGCTAAGCAGAGAGCCCGATGCGGGCTCGATCCCAGGACCCTGGGATCATGACCTCCTGGGATCATGATCTGAGCCGAAGGCAGAGGCTTTAACCCACTGAGCCACCCAGGCGCCCCTTAGGCTACTTTTTAAATGGAAGAATCTTAGGACGCCTGGGTGGCTCAGTTTGTTAAGCGTCTGCCTTCAGCTCAGGTCATAATCCTGGGGCCCTGGGATTGAGTTCCACATCTGGCTCCTTGCTTAGTGGGAGCAAGTCTGCTGCTCCCCCTGCTTGTTCTCTTTCTGGCAAAAAAATAAAATAAAATGGAGGAGTCTTTCGGAATAG